TATCTCTTGCTCGCGTCGACCCTAGTCGCACCCACCCATTTCCCAGCAGAAGAGGAAGAGCCAGGGTAAAGGCTAGTTGGCTGTACATAGCGTAAGCTTTTTGTGTGCTACAATGAAAGGAAGTCGATAAATAAACAAAGAAATGGCACAACACAAGCGCGAATGTTGTGTTGCCGCGCTTGTGTTGTCCCATTTCTTAACCAATTTTTTTTTTCATTGTAGGGCTCAAAAAGTTTGCGCCATTTCCCCCTTATACCTCCTATTTGCACTTCATTCTGATTGTAAATGCTTCAGTGGGGTGAGGGGGTACACTATAGGTACTTCCCTAATCACGCAAGAAAGACGCATGGTGACCTATTTACCGTTGCTCAGGTGACCGTCATGTCGCGTTATGGCCACGCGGTAATGGTCATGCAGTGTTTGACGCTATGGGCGGCAGGAGACTGCAGATTTATTCGAATAACTGCTTACTTGTACCTCCGAACAGCCGGGAACTAGAGACAGGCCGTTGTCAGGCCGCTGTTGCAAGCATCTCATGGCTTTATTCTCCTCTTTGCTTGTTTCTTGCGGACAGGATTAAGGGAGGTGAGGTGGAAGGGGGGCGGGGTCTGCTTTTAATCGTCACTCCATCTTCTAAAAACCCCTGCACACGGAAATGCGCTCAGCAACTTGCCCTTATTACTCGACCCTTGTGACTATAGGGGCTGTATGGCCTTATCCGCAGACTGTTAAAGCGGTGGTTCTCAACCGTTGAAGCGATGGCGGACCCCTTAGTGTAACTGAACGACTCTGGCGTAAGAAACCGGAAGGTGGGGGGGGGGGAGGGGTTGAGACGTGTGTATCGGTGGTGTCACTTGTTCCGCTGCATGTGCACTGTATGAGCACGCATACTTGTGAATTGTTGTAGTCGATGTCGTTGTGTAACGGGACACGTGATTACATGTGACCAATCACGTGTGCACTCGTTTTTGTTGTGTGTTGTGAGAATAGACGGCCGCATCGTCGGCCGAGTCATTGTTTGGGCTTCGGCGAGTGCGGGGCTCACTGCTTCGCGTAGCGGGCAATGCTGGCGCCCGTCGCGTCTCGCTCCAGTTGCCAGACGTGGGTCGTCTGCCGCCCGCCTGCACTACGAGACGCACTCGCTACCTTATTAAATGGAAGACGAAACAGGCGAAGTAAATACAGCGCTACCGTGGCTCATCTAGCAGGCTTGCATTTGAATAGATGCATTGGGGCAGCCGAGGCGATCTTGTTTTAATGTCGCTATGGATCCATACGCAGGATCTGGAACTGGGGATAGGTCAAAACTCGCCTCCAAAAACTCTTTTTTTTCGTGGGCAATGACACCGCGGAGCTCTTACGACGGCTCCGTTGAACCCTTAGGCCCCACGAAACCCGACTAGAAAACCATTGCTCTAAACTGTTTGTGAAAATCAAATACCAGCAACTTCTTAATATAGATCAGTCTTATATTAGTAAACTATTTATTTTGCGTTTTCTTGCACAGTATGTTTTTTTTTGCCAACAAAGAAACAGGCTTCTCTGTCTGGGTTCGATCGCGCGGCTTAAGCCACGGCAGTCGGATTTCGATGGAGGCGGTATCCTGTTGTGCTCATTTAAGAGAATTTTATTTCCAAATGTATCTTACATAACTTGTGTACACCAAAGATATACATTGTTGTTCATGCGTATGTACATTGCTGTGGTCCGTGCACTGTGTGATGCCAGTTCACGTTAAAGAACCGCAAACGGTCGATATATCCAGAGCCCTCCACTACTGCGCACCTCGTAATCTTATCTTGGTTTCGGCGCGTGAAAACCTACGGAAATGATCTGTTAAATATAACGTGCGTAACTTGCGCTGATATTGCTTTATTGCGGCGTTTTCCTGAACGCGTGCGTTTTAAATTGATAAAACGAAGGTGACAGCCCTTACTACGCAGTTGCTGTCAAATAACACAGGAGAAACCTTCCAGAACATTCCAAGTTCGGCTACGGGGTGCTTATACGGCTGTTCTTTCTATTTTATTTGGCGCATCACGAGAAGCGCTGATCAAGGTGATAAGGCGGCGACGAGCGAGGCAGTGACATGCGAAAAGACCGACCAATAAGCAAACGAAAAAGAATTGGCGGTTCGCATCAACGCCTTTTCTCGCTTCTCTCTCGACGTTGGTACGTGTTGCAACTGCGTTTTATCGACTCGCGCAGCACGTTTGTCGCGATGTGGACATTCTCGAAAGCCGCATTGTAGATACAACGGTGGCTCTTCTGCTTCTTCTGGTTCCTCCAGCCCGTCTAGCACGATCGAGACATGTCTCGGGGAGCGCGACAACGGCATCGTTTGTGCCTGGTCACCTGTGTGACTTCATGTAGCGTCTTGGATGGAAAGTGCTCGCAATACGGGACAGACTGGAGAATTGAGGCATGGTCCCATTTTCCACTTGTCCGAACTGCCAGTTAGAGGAGTCTAATAAGCATATGCTGCAGCAATGTGTCATTGCAAAGGTATCTTGAAAGTCTGTTAACAGTAGTTCTCGTGGCCTAGGTGTTAATCGCTTTGTCACATCTGGTCGCTGCTCACGTAGTCGCTTTGCACGCCTTCTCATAGTTGCGGGAGCTTTTTGTTTGTGGCGTAATGGGTGCGATGCTGTTGCGGCAGGTCATCATCGTCGTCCTCTCTTTCCAATTCTGGAACGCCTATACTCTGAAGTACCGTTTCTGTCAGAGGAATCGTTCTTCCTTGGGGAGGAAGACTTTCTACGACAATGGTCGTGCCGCTTTCTGTCCGTAGTTGATAGACGTGTTCGATTAGTATTTCACCTGGCCTGGTTACTATAGCCAGGTCACATTTCAGTGTCTGATTAGTGCATGTAATCTATATGTATTTACTATTTCTATGTGTTTATGTGTGCCCCATAAGGTAGTGAGTTTTTGTACACATGCAGTTCATTCTAACGCTGTAAATTATACAAATTTCATGAATCTTTATAGGTGTTGTATACAGTTGATAACATCTTCACCAAGTCTTGTAAATTCTGTACATATATTATCATGTACACTGTCCATATTGTGATCAGTGTATATACGTAGTGTATGTAGTTATTAGTACCATGAATTATGGACAGCCTACGTGCTTGGACACTTTTGTTTGAATGCGTCATGTATGTTGTGCTTTGCCATTTGTTTGTTATTGTGCTTGTTGTATAGTCGTTCCTTTCATAGGTTTGTTGCGTCCCACGATACAATTACCTTTTTCTAAACGCAGTTGTTCCTGTAACGGGACGGCTTTATGCTCGCCCTTACTAGAGTAGCCAGTACTCTAAATCGTTATAAACTTCTTCAAAACACACAAGCTGCTATCGTTCAGGTGTGAGGCTCAAGGAATGGCTTTCATCTCTCCCATAGTATAAAACCGAGTACCCTAAATCTTTAACCACTTGTTTTATATACTCAAACCTTAAGGATAGTAGGCTGCTACCAACTCGGCGATGACCGGGAAAGCTTATAGCTCTCCCATAGTAGAGTGCGTATGGTGCTCTTAAGCATTGAAAATTTATTCTAAGTACGCAGTGCATAGCGCTACTCGAAGTATTTACAGGTTGTTGCAATCCAATGTGCATAACCAATGTGGAGGACAACTGTAGTTTATAACCCGAGGCATAAAACAATGAACATGAAGGCAGACGTCCGAGGACCACTGCCAGACGGAATTCAGGAATTAGGGTCACTTAGAAGTCTTTCTAAACACACTAAAGGAGGTCCTTATTTGCCCCGAGTTTGAGATATAGGTCACGGCACCGTCACCGCGCTAGTGTGGATTGGTAGCCGGTGGTGCACATTTTAACGTGCGCAGCGGCGCTTTTTTGTGAGTGGTGTGAGCCGATAGTCGGCGAATAAAATGCGTTGTCTGCATCCTAGACGTAATATGTCTTTCCATCGCCGAATGAATGCATGAAGCTCGCCGATCGTTACCACTAGTTTTGAGAGAGACGCTATCCGTCATTGAAAGGGATGTGCACGTTGGTGGCGACTGTTTGCGTTTTTCGCACTATGTTACGTCTGTTGTATATTTATTTCTAAGTCTCTAGTTTGTGTCCTGCCTATACTACGCAGTGCTGTAGTGCAATTGAATTCATTCTTTTCCACATGCACGCTGGTACGAAAAAAAAAAAGAACTGAGAAAGAACTCCCACAGGCTTGGGAAATGAGCTGAGATAACCACTACTTATCAACACTTTTTCTAATGTTCTCAGTGAAATGAATGTAGTAGGACATCTTAATCAGGAAAATTACGTGGCTGCCCAAGCCCAGCCACAGGGGTTTTGTGGCTAAGGTACTCGGCTGCTGACCCGCAGGTCGCGGGATTTGAATCCCGGGTGCGGCGGCCGCATTTTCGATGGAGGCGAAAGTGCTGCAGATCCGTCTGCTCAAATTTGGGTTCACGTTAAAATAACCCAGGTGCTCGACATTTCCGGAGCCCTCCTCTACTGCGTCTCCACTACGGCGTCTCTACGGCGTCTTCCGGAGCCTCCACTACGGCTCGGGCGATGCCTTCAACTTGATCTTGTACACTAACGTCGCGACTGTCGATAAGATTAATAAGGAATGCCGCCGCTTCGAAATGGCCAAAAGCCGCCGTGTCCTGCCTCAATTTTCGCGGCTACCAACCACGGCTATTACATCTACATGCACCGATCTCAGTGCCACACCACCCGTACAGTAGAACGTGAACGAGGACAAGGACGAATCATAGGAAGGCCTTCGAGGAAAAAGGAGCAGCTTTAGAACTGTCACAGTAATGCACCACCTTCTAAAAAAAGAAAAACAAGACTCGCCATGCAAGATCGAATATGGTCGAATACAGGTTTTATGACACCGATATTCAAGCAATCACTCCGGAACTTCAGCAAATGAACATCACATATTGTCCAGATGCCGCGTCTTGGTATACTTGGCTCTCCCGTACGTTGGTCGTGATGGAGCTGGCGCCTACAGGTGGCATGACGCGCGTGGGTGACCAGACCAACAGTTCTGATCCGGCAGCGGTCAACTCACGCATCTTCGTCGGCAACCTAAACACACACGTAGTGTCCAAAGAGGGCGTGAGGCGTCTCTTCAAGCGCTACGGCCGCATCATCGGCCTCTCTAAGCACAAGGGCTACGCCTTCGTTCAGTACACTGACGCATACGACGCATGCAACGCGGTGCTCGGAGAAGACGGACGCACCATAGCTGGCAAAATTCTGGACGTTAACATGGTTTCTGAGCCCAAGCCTCACCAAGTTAACCACAAACGGCAGAATCTCGCTCCAGACCCATTCGCCACCCTCTGGCAGCTGGACTCGCCTGTGAAATGCGCCCGCACCGAGCCGCTCGCATTCCGGCCAGCCAGCGCCATCAGCAGCGGCAACAAGGTCGTCGCCAAGAAGAAACTGCGCACGTACGCCGAGCCGGACATCCTCATCTGCGGCAACTGTCGGGAGGTGTTTCCGAGCCTGCAGAAGCTGCTCGACCACAAGCGCCACCGCTGCCGACTGCGCTTCACCTGCCGCTGCCACGTGGTCCGGCTCTTTCCGGCCGAGTCGTCGCCCGTCATTCAGTTGCCCGTCTGCGTTCAGTGCCTGGCGCGCTGCGGAAGTTGGTGGGAGCTGACCTGCCACTTTGAGGCCACTCATGGGATGTACGTCTACCACCATCCACTGGAGGCAGCCACAAATTCGGACGAGCACGACCAGAAGAGCTTGCAGTCGGACCAGGCAATGGCGTCTCCGAACGATGATGGCGGCTGCGAGGAAGCGGCGAGCGTGGCTTCGGACTACCAAAGCGACGACTGGGCCTCCATCGTCGTCGAGTGTGCCAACCACGGCTCCAACGGCGCCCATTCAAGCAGCGACGAGGCTATGGATGGGAGATATTTAAAACCAGCAGTAATGACGTGACCAGTTCACCAACGAACGAGCGGGGACAAGCCTTCTTCCTCTTCGTAAGGTGCACACGCGCGTCACCGCCCAAAATGGCAATATGCATAATGCATGCACGTAGCAATAATCTGGGTGGCGACGCGCGTGTGTGCCTTACGAGGAAGACGAAGGGTTGTCTCCGCGATGCCCTTTAGTGTAAATATACATTAAATTACCTCACCGAAGATGTCTAATTCAAAACTTGAAATAGAATTTGATGATATTTTCCTCTATAATGCGAAACAAATGCCCCTTAGATATTTAAATAAGCAGTTACAAGATTACTTGACTCATATGTCCATAAACAACAAAATTGCGATGGATGCATCCTTATTAAACGAAAAGGCTGGAGCAGGCATGTTTTGTACTTCTCTCGACTGGTCTTTTTCAGTTGGATTGCCAGATCGTACGCATATATTCATCGCTGAATTATTTGCTATAATTCTAGCACTTCGTAAACTTCCTGCAAGCGAATCAGAAGCAGTCATAATTACTGATTCTCTCTCAGTATGTACTGCACTATCTGCAGCAAAAAATTTATATTATTGAGTATGATTAGAAAGTAGTTCATTACTGGCAAACCTGAGCAAGTTCCACTTGCTCAGGTTTGCTCAGGTTAGTTGAGAAGCTAGGTGTAAAAATAAACGTGGCAGTAAAAATAAACGTGGTAGTAATTTTATCCTTTGGAGGTATTACATTAGGTTATAGCCACACAGAGGTTTGCTCTGCTGTGTGTGCGTACATAATGGCAACAAAAATATTACCTTGTTAGTCTATTGTTATTATTTTCGGCGCCGAGACTACCTGAATGCCTGACCGCTAGCTCGTGTAGCATTTTCATGCATTTTTACGATTTGTTTATGTTTTATACCAAAATTTTCTTTCATATTTTTAAATGAATAACTAATTTGAGGATCCTGCCGCCCGGTTCTTGGCCGATCCCCCTTTGTGGGCAAGTGCCAAAAAAGCGAAAGGCTCATCATCATTTGAGTATGGGACCCACGTTGTCACTCTGTGTCATTTGCTCGTCAACTTTCCGGCACAACGCGAGCACGTCCTGTATGTATGACACATACGACTCAGTTGAGGACTGCACACGAATGGCGAGTTCTTTTCGCGCTTCCTTTTGGCGACCAAACGGGCTCTCAAAGATGTCGCGTAGTCATTCCTTGAAGATATCGCAGCTCGTGATCTCGATCTCATGGGCGTCGAACTAAACACGTGGGGTGCCATCCAAGTAAAAGATTACGTTGGCGAAGCTCATGGTAGGGTCAAATCAGTGTGTGTGGCTCGTACATACGGAACCACAAGTCAACATCAAGCACAGGTTGTGCGGAGAACGTACCGTTATCACAGGTGTAGGGCATCGTTAGATATGTAGTGGCTGGAGCTACAGATGGAGACGCTGTCGGGTTGTCATTGGTAGCCGCGGCCGGTGACTGAACGTTGCGGCCACTGTAAAGCTTCGTGTTGAGGACGGGGAACGTTCCACCTCCACGAAATATGTTACGGATAAGGCGCGACGCCGTATCGACGAGGTTTTTAATGAGATGTATTTAAAACCAGCAGTAATGGCGTGACCAGTTCACCAGCGATCATGCTTCTTTGTTTCTTTGTAACCTAGAATATACGGCTCACACTCACTCTGGGGGATCAGCAAAGAGAACATATAGTCTCACATTGACGATAACTGCAGTATTGCTTTCAAAAAAAGGGGGGGGGGGAGTTGTGCAATGAAGACAGTGTATTGAAGACAAAAAAAAAAGATTCAGAGAGCGAGAAACAAACAACAACAAGAAAGTAGACACTGATAGTCTAACTATACGTTGATTTGGGAGCCGACCAGACAGCTGCGTTTTCCAAACCCGATTAATTTGTTATGTCTCAGATTTATCCACATTTCAAGAATTACTTCTCGACCCACTTTTTTTAGTATTTGTTAAAGTGGGCCTTATGTTAGAAAACGTTTAGAGTATTGAGTGAAACTACACACCGCATCGAATGCATGTCTGAGGCATAATCAATATGCATGCACGTAGCAATATGGTAGTTTTGTGACGTTAAAACCTACACATCCATCAAGAATTTTCTTACTCCACTTACATAATAAAACTATAACAGTTCAGCATCCAGCTTCCTTTGAAGGAACTCGCAGCTTTCTTTGATACCGTGATCATCGGATCAGCTTTCAAGAACCATAACAACTAAACCGCCATGGCAGGTGGGTCGTCACAACCATTTTCAATTACCATCCTCTACAGTGTGTGGCGGGGGCCCTGAATATTAACTTACCTGGCGGGTCATCGTCTATGATGAGCCCTACCTTGTCCAGCACGACCAGCGCACATGATGGGCTGATTTCACGTCGGTTTGTGTGTTCGCGACTGCTTAACTGTAGGTAACAGCGTGTGTTTTCAAAAGTGCGAAATCCTGATAAGCTGAAGACTTCGCGCTGGAAATCTTGGTGTGTTCGGTGAACGAACAAGTGAAGAAGAAAAAATTGCGCCTGTGAGAAGGGAAATGAAACCAAGAAGAAAATCGCTCTGTGGTCTTAGAACTCGGAATAGTTTGGAAAGCCGTAATAAAAGAAAAGGTCACTCACTTGGCATGAAGATAAAAATAACCGAGCTGTTGGAAGGAAAAGACATGATTATCAAGCACGCAGGCAAAATCTTTCTTAAAACGAACCCCAGGTGGTCGAAATTTCCGGAGCCCTCCACTACGGCGTCTCTCATAATCATATGGTGGTTTTGGGACGATAAACCCCACATATAATAAATATCTTTCTTAATTTCCGAGGCAATTCGTCCTCTCTTGCTTGCTCATCGTATATGGAAGGGTGTTTGAACGTGTCTGACCTTTTTCGTTTGATAACACATGCGTCGCGTGAATTTTATCAACAGGTTGTACGTGCGGATGTAACATTTGGTGACTCATGCTTCGTTACCCAATCAAATGAAGAAAAGTTTTGTTAGACAAATTTTCCCATGCAGTTAGCTAGCAAGCAAGGGTGTTCGGTTTGGAAGTTCTAATATGGCTTTGTGAACTAAGAACAAGTCACATTCACTGTGTTGCGCCCGCGAAAATTAATAAGTACATTGGCCATGCGTGAGTTTAAAGATACACGTTCATTTCTCTTACAGAAGGGGACCTAGCGAAATGTTTTGCGCTCACACTTGCAGAAGTCTTGTCAACACAGCTGCAGACATTGCATGTTTTCGGAGGAAGAAGTGTCTGTCCACGTAATTTTTGGCATCACTGTTTTTAGGTACTCAACTTTAGCAGGAACGGACCGTGAAGCTTATGTAATTGTTCACGCATCATTGTCATGTGTTAACTCCCTCCAGCTTTGAGCTTTTCCATGCAGTCCGATACCCTCTTTGACGTCATCTAGGATGGATGGATGGATGGATGGATGGATGGATGGATGGATGGATGGATGGATGGACGGACGGACGGACGGACGGACGGATGGGTGGATGGCTGGATGGATGGATGGATGGATGGATGGATGGATGGATGGATGGATGGATGGATGGATGGATGGATGAATGGATGGATGGATGGATGGATGGATGGATGGATGGATGGATGGATGGATGGATGGATGGGTGGGTGGATGGATGGATGGATGGATGGATGGATGGATGGATGGATGGATGGATGGGTGGGTGGGTGGGTGGGTGGGTGGATGGATGGATGGATGGATGGATGGATGGATGGATGGATGGATGGATGGATGGATGGATATGGCTGTACCCTTTAGATCGGGTGGTGGCTAGCGCCACCAAGCCGTAATATCTAATGAACCAAAAACTAGATTTATTTTTTCCCCCTTAACTTGTGAGGTTGAGGATTCGTACTTTGCAGTGAAGGGTTTAATTTTCACTCGTGCCTTGACTTTAGCCACCAATCAGGTAACCTCCTTCTAGTTAATTCTACGCGCTTAAAGTCTATTTTGCCCTCCCTGTCCCTAAATCCCAGTGCCTAAAAAGCTCTGCGCCATCGTCATGAACTATAGGGTGAAGCCCTTTACAGAACATTATCAAGTGTTCGGCAGTTTCTTCTGCCTCTCTACACGCACTGCATAACGTGTATACCCCTTCGTATTTGGCCCGATATGTCTTGGTTCGCAATACTCCAGCCCTGGCCTCAAACAGTGGAGAACTACCCCGAGTATTATCATAGATGCTTTCCTTGGCTATTTCCTGCTTAAAAGTTCGATAGATCTCTAGTGCTGACTTCTTAGTCATGCCAATTCTCCACATATCAGTCTGAGCTTCCTTCCCCGTCTTCTTAACCGATAATTGTTTTTGGTTTGGCCCCCTGCTGTTTTCCAAGTATTTACCAGTCAATTTTCTGGTTCGCTTCCTCCATTTTGTATCGACATTCTTCATGTACAAGTAGCTGAATACCTTCCTAGCCCAACGCTCCTCCCCCTTTTCTGTCAATCGCTTCTCAAATTTTATCTTGCTGCTAGCTTCCCTGCCCTCAAACGATGTCCATCCCATATCACCTTGTACTCCCTGATTTGGTGTATTCCCGTGAGCTCCTAAGGCAAGCCTACCTATTCCACATTGCTTAATTTCTAATCTTGCTTGAACTTCTGATCTCATGCACGAGACCGCATTGCCGAACGTCAGACCAGGAACCATGACCCCTTTCCATATTCCTCTCACAACATCATACCTGTTGTAATTCCACAAAGCCCTGTTTTTCATTACCGCTGCATTGCTGTTACCTTTAGTCGACACGCATATTTCGTGTTCCCTTAGGTACTCGGCCCCATTGTTTATCCATACGCCCAGATATTTGTATTTATGTGTTATCTCTAGCGTGACCTCCTGCATTCTAAGCTCACTACCTTCATTGCCATTAAAAATTATGACTGCTGATTTTTTCTTACTGAATCTGAAATCTAACTTATCTCACTCATTACCGCAGATGTCCATCAATCTCTGCAAATCTTCCTTATTGTC